CTATTTTTAATAATATAAATGACATGCTTGTGAAACATTTGAAACGTGTAATCATCCGACCGAATAAAAATAACAACAATAAAAATAATAGTACATGCAGCGATGACACGACGTGACATTTAAAAAGATATGTCGCATGCAAGAAAAAGTCGTTATTTCACCAAGAGCGATTTAATTTATAGACTCGCTACGCTAAGTGGTCATCATGCGTACGTATGGGGCGTTTCAAAAATATTATATTTGCCAAAAAACAGTTATTTATTTTCGTATCCAGTGCACATTCATTGTGACCGGACGAACGTGCTCATGGTAACATATTCAAGACGTTACCCCAGGTTTTTTTTAAAAAACAAAGCGAACAAAATCAACAATATATTTTACAGTTTTTCAGATTTGTCGGTGTATAACTAATAACCCTTTCACGACGAACACACACATTTGTGTAGGTTAGCGTGTGCCTAATTATAAACGAATATAAAATCATACAGTGATCAGTTTTAAAACGATCCTACACAAATGTGCAGGTTTTTTTGGACCCTCTAAAAACCTGGATTTTTTTTTTTTTAATTTTTACAACTTTTTATTGTTAAAATGGAATCTGTATACAAACATGATAACGTTTTAAATAAAAAAAAAAATTTTAAACCATTTGAAAATCTTAAAAATAAACCTACACATTTGTGTAGGTTCGTAGTTTATTATTGCTATTAATTACTACTCATATTTATCGTAAAAAGTTAAAGTTAATTTTATTTGAAATATTTTTAATCACATATTTTATGAAATATTAATTTTAGTCTTCTTTTTAGTAAGACATAAACATGTTAGAACTATTGGTAAAAAAAATTGTATAATAATAATAATAATAATAATAATAATAATTTATTTTATATGAAACATTCTAAAACAGTTGTTTTTAGGAGTAAGACACAAATAAACATTACATTTGCTACATCTGTTTCTGGTTCTGCTTTTACATCCCTCTCTTCTACAGTTCCGGGCAGTGTTTAAACTGTCAGCTTCTGGCCAGTGATCATACGCATCATAACGCTAAATAAAATAAAATAAATAACATTTTTAATAAAAGACAGTATAGATTTAAATATTTCACCTTTTTTTTCTGTTGGAATAGGTGCTCTAAAATTCTGAACTTTGTTTGGAGGTTCTTCATTTGCATCGATAGGATTTTCATCTTCATTTGGTCGTTTTTTTGTTAATTGGTGTTGAGAGCCATTCTTTGGCGATATTGATTTTGAACTCCATTAAATCTTTTATGTTTTTTTTGGGAATTTGCATTTTAGTTGCGTCTTCTTTGTACTCCATCCAAGCATTAACTATTGCTAAGTCTATGAAGTGTATTGCAACTTTTACCGTCCACTTCTTCGATTTAAACCATGTGCGGTAAGCTTCTATTTGTTGATTGCACAAGTCAACGCCGCCCATATTTTTATTATATGATACTACTACTGCAGGACAAGGAACATTTATCTCTTTATTTTCGGTTTTACTCCACCTTTTAACTATTTGATGTGGTTCTGCACCTGTTGTTGTCGATACCATTGTTACACATTTACTGTCTTTCCATTTAATGGCAGTTAATTTCTGATCAGCTCTTGTAAATTCCTCCCATACACCACGTTCAAATTTTTTGTCATTCGAAAAATGAACATTTTTTCAAACGATTCTGCATGATTGTTCCCGTCGCATAAATACCAATTTCATTTAATCGGTTCATCAATGGGACAGTTGTAAAATATCTATCGAAAAATAGTACTGATTCTTTAGGTATTGTTTTCGATAAATGTAGAATAACAGCGGGTCCTAATCCAAGAGAGCGGTCTTCAAAAGGAGTTTCAATCCCTTGATATAGTTCAAAATCGAGGACCATTCCTGTAGTGGTCGTAATTACAAAGTTTTTAAGCCCGGCGGGACGTGGTTTATTTTTTACGAATTGCCGATGAGGACACCTGCCAGTAAAAGGTACCATCTGTTCGTCGATAGAATATAAACCAATGGATCGAGGTATATTTCTACATGCATTTCGAACAAATTCGATCAACGGCTGAACTTTCCAAAATTTACTTTTGTTGTTTGGAAGACGGTTATTTACGTCAACAAAATGTAAATGTGTGCGTATAGCTAGAAACCTATCTCTTGTGATTGCAGAAGATATGAGATCCAAAGCGATACCTCTCTGCCAGTACATAAAAAATCGAGGATATTTAATAATTCCCATCAATGCCTGGGCACCATAAAATACTTTTATTTCATTGGCAGTGGCTCTGAATTCTTTCCCCTTAGTACTAAATGCATACATGTTAGTATATAGCGCAGCTTCTTCGAAATGTAAATCTGGTAAATATTTTTCTACGTAACTAATAGGTGAGCCTAATTCAATACAATTCTGAGGGCCATTAAATTCGGGTAGTGGTACACCCAGAAAAGGCATTTGGCTCCATCCAATATTTGGTGTTGATTGTGTACTAGTTTGGGTTGGTACTTCTATATTATTTGTATTTAAACTGACATCAAAATTATTATTATTATTACCTTCGTTATTGGTTAATGTATCTTGGTCTTCGTCAGAATCTGATCCAGATAGATCCGATTGACCTGCATTTTTTTTTTTAGGGAAAGGTTGCCACGTTGTGTCAAAATCCGAATCATCACCACTAAAATCGTCTATTTCTGATTCTTCGTTCAAAGTGGTTAAAATATCGGTCGCATTCAACTTTGCACGACGCATTTTAACAAAAATATAAAACAAAATGCAAAGACACGAAAATGAATACTAACCTACACAATTGTGTAGGTTAACTTAAGCCGTGCGAACCGAAGGAACTACTAACGATAACTGTTTATGTTCTGAATTATAGAAATCGTCACCATGTACCGAAAAATATTATATAATAATGCCAACACAAATAACCGTTGGTAAATGATAATTTAATGTAATGAGGAATGGTATTGAATAGGCCAGACGAAAATTCCAAACAAATGATTATTTTTAGAAATATTAAATTCGTTTATTTTTGTACAGATAAGGAATATCCTACACAATCGTGTGGTTAAGGTTTAAACGTTCTATCTACATTTTTTTAGTCTACATAATTTTAAGAAACCAACCACACATTTGTGTAGGTTCGTTAATACCAATTACTAAAATCAATTAATCAGGCAGGATTAAAGATAGTATAGATTTATATACACAATTGTGTGTGCTAGTTGTAAAACATATTAAAACAAAAATTAAGGCTCGTCGTGAAAGGGATAAGTACTATTAGGTAGTATTTTAGTTTGTGGTTAGTTTTTACTAACGGTTAATAATAAAATGAGTAGAAAAAATTATCAACACTAAAATTCATGGATTAGGGAGACGATTTGGGGGAGGGGGTTAGTATAATTGAGACCTACACTCTCGGGCATGTCACCGTGGCTACTGATACTAGTGCAGAGCTCGGAAACTGCTGAGTATTGTTCG